ATTGCCAAAGATGTGAGGGAGATTCAAACCATACATGATGGGATGACTCGAGAGTTGGACAATCTTCATAGACAGTCGGCATACTATGCCAGTCAGCAGCAGAAGCAGTACGATTACACTCATGAGCGACTGGGATCCTTGGAGGGACACTAGGACTAGGGTCCAGTATCGCCACCCTCTCTTTGTGATTTACAGCCCACGACATGAAGAGATGGATGAGGGTAACCCAGACCAATAGAGTTTTCTTGTGATTTGATGTGGCTTGTTGTGATTATGGAATTGCTTGTTGTGCGCTCTGCTAGCTTGGATTTGCAGTACTTTATTTCATATGTTATGTTATTACAATTGTTGGATGTTTCATATCATGATTGTGCTCTTTTGTGCGCCCTACTTACAGTCTTTACACTCTTATCCTATCTGCTACATTTGTTAGTTTATTTTCGCATACTTTGATTGCATGTTACCTGCTTCCTTATTTTTGTTGCTAGTTGATGTAACTTACTTCCTGTTTCTGCTATTATGTTCTGTTGAGACAATTTCATTGGTATGTTGAATGGTAATCGAGAGAAGGAAGTTCACATAATATGCTGCATTAAAATAGTTATATTACTTGCTACGATTTCAATTTTATGCCTAAATTTATGAGTTAGCCCCTCAATAATGAAAAGTAAGAATAATATTGAGGCAATATGAATTTCACTAAAAATTAAGATGGAAGTGTATGATACTAGTCTTATGCCTAATAATATTTTCTTTCCTCCTAAAGATAGAGTTCTCTAATATTTAAAGAGGTAGGACTATGAGACTCATTATTAATCCAGAGTTTTTAAACCTTACTGTTTTATTTCAACGGGGATGAACCTTAATTTGACTAGATTTATCTAAAAACTAAAGATCATAATAAGGAGTGAGTAAGCATATATACTAGAAAGACTAAATTCTAAAAAGAAAAAAAAACAATTTGATGCTTAACCAAAAATAGTAATTCTTGCATGCCTAAAAATAGAAAAAAAGAAAAGAAAGAAAAAAATATATATTCATAAAAGAGCTAAGAGAAAATAAAAGTAAAAAGAAAGCCTAAAGAAGAAGCTTGAGGTTAAGCACGATCATACCTAAATCTGGTTTTCTAGCCTCTTCCCGATGTCAAATAATTCACTTGTACTTTTATTAAGATCTTAGGAACTTTATAAATTCATGATGAATTAAGGGAAAGTCTATTGTTATAATAAGAATTAATTGTTTAACTATTATTGGAGAAATAATGAAAATTGTAGCCTCACTAATCTAAATAATAAAGAGTTCTTATATTTAGCAAGAGGGAAATAAAGAAGGTTATAAAATTTTATTACTCAAAAAAATCAATACTTAAAAGCGGAAGTAATAAAAATCATGAAAAATTCACTTTTTCACCATTAACAGACTAAGATTTTCATAAGAAAAAGGTAACTCATTTTCTAGAAATCTGAGTTGTCATAAGCATTACTTGAGAGGAAGGAATGTGTATGTTTGGGGGGATTGGCATGCATCAATTTTTCGTATTTTTTATGTTGTAATTCATGCAAATTTTTTCCTTTATTTTATGATTTTACATTTTTGGAAGGTTGGTTATGTGTTTCGCAAGTTCCAGAAGCATTAGCATGCAAATCAGAGCAAAACAACATTATGGAACATTTTTCAGTCTGGCGTGGCCATGCCAAGCAGAGCACGCTAGAGATCAGGCGTGGGCACGCCAGTTCAAAACATTTGCAGATCGCCCCTAGGCATGGCCACGCCTTCATATCTTGCTACGAAAGGAATGAAATTTTCCATATTAATGCCTCTAGATTTGGACAGAATTTGAATGAGGCTTATAAAAGGACAGCATGGCTTGATTTGGAGAGAGCTTTGGAGAGCTTTCAGAAGCCTAGGGTTTGAGAGGGTTTGAGAGAGCTCTGCCCTTCTTCTTCTCGAGAGAACGGAACAGACACTTTTGCTCTAGCTTTCTCTTTCATTTTCTATGTTGCTTTTGAGCAATTGTATGCAAGAGTTGTTTGCTACTTTTTGCAAGAGAGAAGATTCACAAATTAATGAGCGTAGTGTAACGATTCAAATTAACCCTCTTGCCTTAATTTACTCCTAATCCAACCAGTTTACAAGTTAAACCTATCGTGATCTACGACATCTGCCCGTTGCGTAGTTGAACGATTGTGTTAACCGCAAAATCCTATTAGAATTGGCATATTTTAATTTGGGTTTTGCAACCAAGGAAAGGAATCTGAGAAACACTGAAAAATGTCGTAAGATTAAACAAAACTTAACGTTACAGGGTTTAAAATCTTCTTCTGACTTAGGCATAGGCTTAAGAAAAAACATCGTCCCAGGTTGACAACAATCATGTCGGAGAAACTATTTGAAAAATATAATCAGGCACTACATCTGAATCACAAAGGCACGATCCTAAACCATCATAAAAAAGCATAAGAACTTTAGTTCTTGCTTTCTGTTCCTTCTGTTTTCTGATAGATTTACGATTATTACTCTTTTGTTTTCCTCACACGCTGAACTAGGTTAGTAAGCTAGAAAATTGTAGATTCACCGATTCGGAACTGTTTTTAACTCATTTCCCTACGGGAACAATACACGGTATTCTTGCGAACTGCTTACTACTTGACAAGTATAATTACGTGAAGTGGCCACCCGCTTTGCAATGATTTTGCGGCCATCAAAGATCTAACGTCAGTTCCTACCAACTTACTACAGATATAAAATTCAGACGCTAGCTTCAGAAGTGGAAAGATTATATCACCGGGCAACCACAACATCTTACAGGCAGCGCTCAGGGACTTACAACCAGATTACACCCAGAACAACATCCAAGTTGATCCCTTCTGAGAAAAAGCTGAGTTAGAGTGGAGAACAGGAGGAACCAATCTGCATCTCTAAATCTGTCCCAATCAAGAAGTGTTGTAAGTATCACGGATTTTGGCATGTTCAATCAGATCGCACAACTAGGGGGTGATCTTTTTTCACAAAACATGGTGTTCTTAAAATATTGGGTAATGACGCGGTGGACACTGAAGGCGGTGAGGACACAAAGCAAGAGGACCAGTTTCTATTTGAAGAGATAAACGATGATGCAGAAGAAGATATTGACTTCATAGAGGGTTCTCAATTTTTAGCCAACAGAAAGAGACGTAATTAATTCCAGTTTACCCTAAGATAGAGATACCAGCTCAAGTAACAGTAGGTGCTTTAGAAGAAAATGACTCTGATGTAAGGAGCATTCTTACAGAGTACGAGATTATAGTACCTCGAGCTAGCATTTTGCAGGCATTGAGATGAGCATCAGAAGGACTTGCCTTGGATGTCCAAAGCTATCATAAGTTTGTGAAACTGGTATCAACCACAGAACAACACCGGATAAGAGAAATTCAAACCATTAAGATCCATAGGCTCATCCTTGAGTTGTCTTTATTGAAGGACATCACACATGTCAGAGATGAGACACTTTTGCAACACATCATATGGATTACATTGAGTTATTCAGATATTAGATTCAATCAAGCATGGTACCCATCATTAGATTTCAACATAGAAGGGACGAATCCCATCCTAAAAATTTGTTTAAGAGCTTGATGGGGAAGAAAATTCTTCAATGAGATTCAGTTCCTATCAGTGAAGAAGAAGAGGTCTCTCCCAAGTGGTTGCTAGTGAGAGTGGTGTGGGCTACTCAAGATTTCACCCCAAAGTTGGCTTCTCCCAAAATATTGGTTTATCAGCAACACTCTGCCCGACACAAGTAAGTGGAAGAAGAAGGTTTCAGATTTATGGGTTCAAGAATTACATTATAGGAACCTAAATGTATATGCAGCTTCAGCTTATGATATGCCAAGAGAAAATACATATTTATTCTATAAGAACATGTTGCGGAATGGCAACACTTACACGATCGACCGCCCGGGAGATTGCAATATCTCTACTAATATCAACGTGGCAAACTTGACTCTATGCTATATGGAATCAAAAGCTACAATGAATGAAATCGAAGCTCCCCAAACCCCAGGAGATTGACGGGGGAGCTCGGGTCTCGGTAATGTAGCAGCTACAGTACCGCATACCCATTTTTGATCATTTGTATTTTCTATTCCCTTCGCAACTCTATTTCCTTCCTATTCTAATTCATTTATACAATTAGTACTTAATATATATATATATATATATATATATATATATATATA